GAACGGGGCGGTGGAGGCCGGGGCGGGCCGCCGCCGCGCCCGTTATTCGCCGCTCGGAGCAGGCAGCGACCCGGCCGCCCGCGCCTCCGCCGGGGGGCGGCCCCGCGCTCCGCCGGGCCTCGCCGCCATCTTGGCCGCTGCCCCGGGAGCGGGACGCGCCGCGCCGGGGGAGGTACGTGTGGCCGGGCCGGGTCGGCAGCGGGGCGCGGGCGGGCGGCGTGGGTCGTGCTCGAGGGAAGCGGGGCCGGGCCGGCGGCTCCTTGCGGCCGGGTGAGCCACTGTGCCCGCTCCGCACGGAGCCGGGCGGTGGCGCGGGGCGGGCGAGGGCCTGAGCGGCGTCAGCACGGGCGGAGGGAGCGGCCCGCGGAGCTGTGTGCAGCGCGGGAGGAGCGCGGCGTGTTCGGGAACTCGTTCCGCTTTCTGTTCCTTCTTTCGGGAAGCGCCTGCATCAGCAAGCGCTCCGCAGATCTCCCTGTGCGCGTCTGACAGCCGGGTGCGGGCTGCGGCTTCTTTGGTTTTGTTTCAGCGCTAACGTACTTTGAAGCAGCCATGCGCTTAGCGTCCTGTCGTCGTGCTGAGCGATGCGTGCAGGTTCGAATTGTACGTGGCTTCTTATGTTAAAGCAAAAGAGAAATAAGCAAATGCACAAAAACTGTGCCTGAGTGGTGTATCCCTGTAAATGCATAAGGTTTGAGCCCTCATACTGCGAGGGCCATCTAACTCAAAGCAAACAAACAAACAAAAAGCTCTGGGAGAAAATGGGACAAGAAGGGCCTTTCCTGCCCTTGTCGCATAACTGAAAATTCTTCACAGACAGCAAATCAAACATTAAGACCCCTCCACATCCTGCAGTGTTGATTTGCTGTCCTTCTCCAGAAATGATGTTTCCTATTGTGCAAAGCAATTACATACCAATTCATTCTCAGTTACTCTTTCAAACAAAGCTCTCCTTGCAAGCAATTCTGCATTGAGTGATCTTAAACAGAAATCTTGTCATGGGAATTTCTGAAAGAGAAATGGAGTTCTTGAGGCAGAAAGATCTGAACAGTAGTGACAAGTAGCAGCTGTACGTTATACATGGTGAGAGGAAACCAGGTTAAATCTTTCTGCAGTGTAGAGTTCCTTATTTACTTTTCAGCTGACTTAGTTCTTCCAGAATTAAAGAGTGTGGCTCTGTTTTTTTCTCATCGAAGAAGGTGGTGATGTCCTTCTTTCTGCACTTTGTGCTCTGGACTGGTTGGCAGGGCGCACGCGTTAGTGAGAGCCATCATTTGTTTGCAGCAGGTTCCAGCAGTACCTGCAGGCTCTGTGTCCCAGCAGCGCGCAGTGCTGTGCATATCCTTCAGTGAACATCGGTTGTCTCTTAAAATTGAGCCTAGGAGAAGAGTGCTAGGAAGCTGTAGCACCATCACCCCTGCCAGAGCTACGGGGAGCTGGGGAGAAAGGCAGAAAATATCCTAAGATCTGTCAATCTGAGCTGAACTCCTTTTGGTCGGTTTGGTCCTTTCTATCTCTTTATTCAGTGCTGCTTTCAGAGAGTTGAATTCTTAAATGGCCCATTAGTTGTCATGAATCCACTGATTTGCTTGTAAATTGTACTGGAAATGCTGCACTTCCGTGTGAAAAATGTAGTTCTAATAATTCATTTCTTTTTTTTTTTTTTTTTTTTTTTGAGCAATTCTATTGGATTTTGGCTTTTACAGTGAAACTTTCCATTCTCACATATCCCAGAGGGAACCGCAGTTAAGCAATATCAAACACTGTTTGATTATTCAGCATCTAAAATTGTTTTGTTGGCAAGAGATGGAGCAATCTTGCCAGCACTTACATGACTTATTCTAAATTAAACAGAGGCACCATGCAAATATTTTATGGGAGAGCTGCTCAGTCTGCAGATGAAATGTTATACAGATTATTCTGTAGGCTGTGATTTTATCTGTATAACCACAGAGGAAGTTGAAAGGCTGTGATGGATACCAAACCCTGATTTAGGACAGCTTCAGGGTATTCTCAGAGGACCACTTCCTTTCACAAACTGTTCTGGAAAGTTACTAACAATGTTTTAAATGAAAGTGAAGATAAATATGTGTACACTGAAAAATTGGGAAGTGAAGCATTTAGTCTTTAATGGGGATGATTTGGCTCATAGAGTATTTATCTGAGTGGTTGTTACGCAGACATCAGCACTTGATGCTGTTAGTTACAGTTGGTTTGGTTCTGGGAGCTTTGCCTGTTACAGATAGACTGGGCAGTTCCTAAGAAGGGCTGTGAATACATTTTTACCCTAATGTAGGGATGCTTTAAGCTGTGGGCATCTTGTAAACAAGAAAGATTAACGACAACTTCTGCAGCAGCAGTAACATACATTAATGATGATAGGAGCCTTCCAGAAATCCCCCAAATGACTTATTTTGGTGATATCTGAGACTCACAACTGCTAACATTGTATCAGGATTAGCCCAGCAAACTGTGTGTTCAAATCCATCACCCTGACTGTCTTGGAAATGTCACTGAAGTGTCTGATAGAACTTCTCTTCATTAGTTTACCATTTTAAGAGCCAGTGAGTCTGTGAAGGTTGTCCACTTAAGGCACATCCTGAACATGTTGGAAAAAGCTAGCAGAAATACCCGCAGGGTGGTCGTGGCAAAAATGTGAACTTCAAAATAGAAATGGAGCCACCTATCTGAGCTTATTTGTTTCTCCACATTTCTCTGAGCATTTGATTACTTTCCATGCTTTTAATGGCTTATCACAAGAAGTCTGTTTCTACCAACCCACAGCAGATGCTCAGCCAGCCCACTGCCACTGACCCTGTGGCCTTCTGAGCAGCCCAGCCAGGTGCAGGAGCGTGGGTCTGAGCACACTGCTCATATCCCACATGGAGCCCTGTGAAGAATGCTTTGAAGGGCATTGCAGAGGTCAGTGATAAATTCCTCACTCCTGGCTTTCAGAGCTTTGACTGTAACTCAGCTAAGTGTTAGGGAAAAGCAGCTGGCAGCAGTATTTTTGTAGTAGTCACATTTTAGGGTATTTAGTTGTAACTAAGGACACGCTTGTGCAGTCACTTTGCTCCCATGGCCAGTCTCACCAGTGAGCTCTGCTTTTGTCCTGTGAGCCCAGATGTTTCTCAGCCAAGAGATGGAAAAAAAAAAAGTGAAATAGCAAAATCCAGATTTAGTCAAAAGATACAGGGATGGAAATAGCATGTTTGAAGATGCCCAAGTTAAAATATTTAGCTGTTCTTTGAGGACTCCAGTTCCTGTGGAAGTGGAAATGACTATCTAGAGCCACAGGGAATTTTGTATGTCTGAGCTCCTAACAAGGGTGGGAAGTTGACAAGAGCAAACCACTGGGCTGCTTGTTGCTGCAGTACCTGTACAATCCCCTGCAGTCAGGCAATATCTAAGGCAGTGAGCCTATTAAGAATGATCTTGAGTGGCTCACTTTGAGCTGAAGATGCAAATAATCCACAAAATCCTTCAGACTGCTTCTTAGGTCAGCCTAAAAGCAGAAAGATGGGAGACGTGTCCTGTTGAAATGTTCCTGGAAGGACATCTTTAGTATTTTGCACAGAGCATTCGTGTGCTGCCCTCTCAAAATGGCGTTTGCACACACTCTCCTGGTTCTCAGGTGGTGGTGGTGTGCTTTGGCTGCTGTCTTTTAAACTGGTGGCTTTTTTGATTCAAGATCTTTACCCTTGGAATGTCCCAGCTCTTCATGTGCTCTGCTGCTGAGCTGCTACTTACCTGACCTGTTGGCATGCAGAATCTTAATGTTACCAGAGGAATTTCTTACAGTCAGCATTTTTCACCTTTTCTTCTTTGCAAATCTAAAATTCTGGTGAGATAGAAGAAGAAAGTAAAGTAATAAGAAAACCTCATTGTGTGCATATCTTAAATGAAATCTGCCACACAAAAAAAAGATTGTTTGGGAAATCTTTGGTACTGGGAGCACTGTAAGTAATTCCTGTTAAATATTAGCTCACATAAGATATTTTTGTAGTAACACTACTTCTATGACATCCAGCATCAGCTCCGTCTTTACCCGGCTGGTGCCAGCAGTTTGACAGCACGTGGGATAAATGAAATGTCTCTGGTCCTGCACTGCTGTAAGAGCTTTGTTGTGCTCAGCACTGACAGAGGGAAGCATCTGAACAGAGCTGCTCACTGCAGATGGGACGGCCTCGTGCCATGGCTGCTGGGACATACAGGCAGGAGACACGAGCTGTAAGGATACAGCTGCCTTTTTCCCAGAGCAGTTTGCATTATTTTTGTTATTCATGTGCTGCTCTACTGCTAAAACCTGTGAAGGAAGAAAGAAGCATGTGAGGGGAATGAAGGGAACTTCTGCTAGAAGCAAAATAATTGTGTGTCATGGGAAATCCTGCAAAAATGGTTGACAATAGGGAATGCAGTTAGGTGGGACTTGACTGCTCAGTTTGCTGTTCCCATTCTCCTCAGGGCCACGCATACTTAGGAACACAGTTGGCGCATGAGCAATGAGTAAGTAGGAGCAAGTCCAGCACTGCCACCCCTTCAAGCTGTGCAGGCCCCCTCTCAACTGCGTATCATGACATGGTGTTTTGCTGTAGATGGAATGCATTGCAAAAGCCCCAGCCTTGCTAACAGAGGCTGGATGCAGGACCAGCATAGAGCAACGTGGCTGTATGTAAGTAACCAGTGTTGGCATGCTGCACAGCTGTGCTAGCTCAAACAACAGAGTCACAAATGCAGCAGCTTATGCTCAGTAGAATTGCTATGAAGCTGTACAGCAGGAGCACTGCTGGGGCTTAGAACCGCTGTGTAATGCAGTTCTGATATACTGTCAGCATCGGGTGCAGCAGCCATCACCCAGCACAGCTCTTCTGCTGTGGGCCCTGGGCAAGCAGGTCCTGCATGTGCTGAAACTGCTGTAACAACTTAGTATGCAGTGCCTAGGAGTTAGGGCCTGGAGCTGTTAACATCAGTGCTATGGTGTCCACATTAAAATGTGCAGAGAACTATTCTAAGCCTTGCAGCTGATCATATGTTTGGGCCGCCTTGGTGTGGAACAATACTGACATTCAGTGGTTGATTATACTCAGTGCTGCTCTATGGCCATCCAGGAGATTTTAGAGGGTTTTAGCATTCAGCACTGGCTAAAATCAGAGCATGCTTAGTTAAACTGGATTTGAACAACTGTACTGAGGTTCCTTAATAAGAATGCTGTTCTCGCGGTGTTAAAATTCCCTGATTTTTTTTTAACTACTCAGAGATTGATTTGGTTCAAGGATGGGTATCATAGAAGTATGCTGTAATGTGATGGAAAGCGCATCAATAACAGCAGAGCAGCAAGGTGCTAGGCTACAGCAAGTGAGGACTTGCTCAAACACTACAGCTGTGGGCACAGAAATAAAGGAAAAAAAGCTGCTTACCTTCAAAAGACCGCAGGTATGCAGAGACCTCCAGAGAAATCCCCTCACCTCCACTGCCAACCCTTACATGAGGTCTGTAAGGGGTCAATCCTGGCTCCACCCCTTTCAGTCACTCAGGAACATTGCATGCACCTGAACTCCCCTGGGTTGGCCCTGCCTTCCACCAGGTGCTCAGTCGCTGCTTCAGGCCATGATTCAGCATTTCTGCTACACATGCAATAGTGTCAATTTGTAGCTGTATTTTCTTTCTCACTCTTAAGCAAACTGGCCATTAACAATTCCAAAATAATTTCCCCTCACGTTCCACATTGGCTTCATTGGCTTTTTTTGTCCACATATTGACCATGGGTCTTTTCATGCCTATCACTAAGGACAGCATGCTTTGGTTGGGAATTGGCAGAGACTTGGCAAGGTCCCAGTGAGCACAAAGACCTGCTGTCATGGCAGAGCCACAAACGTTCCGATATCAGTATTTGGAAGGCAGCAGGAATGAGGAACCACTGGCAGCTTCTTCAGCTACAGAATGAGTTTATGCATGATGTAAATGCCAGGTTAACTTTAGCTTGAGGACACTATGCTTGGCTTAAAAGGTGTTTGTTTTCTAAGCCCACTTTTAAACTCAGACTTGCTTTTGTCAGAGTACGGCTGTGCTGCAGGTCAGCCGAAGCATTGCAGCTGCCTGTTGGAAAGGCTGAGCAGCTAAGCTGAAGTCCAATAGCATTTGGCTCTTCTGCAGATGTGGGGAAAAGAGTCAATTCACTTAATTTGAATCAGCAACTTAATTCACTTACTATCTCACTGAATGTTGAGAAATGCACTGGGAATGTCCATGGAGATGTTCAAGGCCAGACTGGATGGGGCCCTGGACAGCCTGGTCTGGTATTAAATGTGGAGGTTGGTGGCCCTGCCTGTGGCAGGGGGGTTGGAGATTCATGATCCTTGAGGTCCCTTCCAACCCTGTGATTCTGTGATTCTGTAATTGCTTTTTAGAAAAAGATAAGCTGCTTTTCCTGTGAATAAAGTGAAGGATCAGTGGCTGGGGTATGTTATTTGTAAATCTGGAAAGATCCAAGAAAAAAAATTACATTCAGTAACTGCAGCTAATACTCCCCTTGATTCATGAGTGAGTTGGTTTTCAATTATAAAGCTATTTTAGAAGCTTTTCTTCCATGTGTATCGAGCACATCTGAGGCACTTCTATTAGGTGGAGCAAACATCTGGTTTTGTGTTGTTCGAAGAACCCCAGTCCTTTATCCAAGTGCAGCAAAAGACTGAGCAGCTAGCAAATAAAAAACACTTTCCTAGTTCAATAGCTGAAAGCTGGCAAGGTAATAAGATTTCTCCATAAGATACCACAATGCTCAATTACACATGTAAATGTAATGCAAAATCCTCTGCTACAAGAAAAAGTGGAAAATCGTACAGTTATCCTGGTATGTTGCCGTGCTGGCTGAGGAGAGCCAGCATTTCTTCAAGAAATACATTGCAAATGCCAAGTAGAGATGGGAGTAGAAAGTAAGGGTACTGACTTCTTGCTTACACTGTGATGTATTTTGGCATCTTAAGGCACCATTAATTCTTTTGTGGCAGAGCCTTCCTTTCAGTAAAGAAAATGTAATTAAAAAAAAGAAGAGCAGCTAAGCAGTATCTTTTCCTTAAACTCACAGTGCATGTTAGTAAACAATAACCATAATAAGGAAGGGAATGTGGGAGAAGATATAATGTCAATCGTCCCATCCTTTTGCTTATTTTAACTTCTTTGAATGTTTCCAACAGAAAATGATCCACAGCCTGTTTCTTATAAACTGTTCTGGTGATATATTCCTGGAGAAGCACTGGAAGAGCGTTGTGAGCCAGTCTGTGTGTGATTATTTCTTCGAAGCTCAGGAGAAAGCAGTCGATGTCGAGAACGTGCCTCCTGTCATCTCCACGCCACATCACTACCTCATCAGCATCTATCGCGATAAAATCTTCTTTGTGTCTGTCATACAGACAGAAGTGCCACCGCTCTTTGTAATTGAATTTCTGCACCGAGTAGCAGATACTTTTCAGGTCCGTCACCGTTAATATTAAAACTGAAACAATTACAAAGGAATTCTGGTATAAATTTCTTCTGTAGAAAGGCAGTAAATCATCCTGTCCATGACTTTTCCCTTTGCAGTTTCAGTGCTGGTACAAAAGAAAAGGAGGATTATTTTGTGTATTCATTTGACTTACAGATACCAGCACATGAGCACTAAAACCCAAATTCCAGCTTGTTTTTTTTCTGCAAGTTTTGAGTACTTTTCCAGTTACGTAAATAAACTAGAATGATCATGCAGTCATGGAGAAGTCAGTGCGAGCCATGAGATGTGACTTGGGAGTCAGTTTGCAGCCTGATTGATAGATGCTGTAAATAAAGGAACCTCTGGTGAAGAGTGAGCACTGCTGAAAGATAGCTTCTATATTCTGCATTGGTGTTCTAACCAAAAATATGTTTCATGTTCACAAGTGGAAGAACCCTTAGGAGATGTATACATAGAAAACCAGCTTACATAATTTCACTGTTAGCTCTAGATGCTACGTGTCCTTAATGTCTGATGCAGTCAAAGAATAGAAGTAGTGTGTCAGTTTAAGCACTAAAGTTCTTTGAGATACTAGAGAGTAAGCAAAAAGAAAATTACAGAGCATTTTAACAGGAATAAAAATCCTCCCTCTTTTAATCTCTGGTTTGTTTAGGATTACTTCGGCGAATGTTCTGAGACTGCGATTAAGGACAATGTGGTCATTGTGTACGAGCTGCTGGAAGAAATGTTAGACAACGGCTTTCCACTGGCAACAGAATCCAACATACTGAAGGAGCTGATCAAGCCTCCCACAATTCTGCGTTCTGTTGTCAACTCCATCACAGGTATGAAACTAAATAATTTTCAGAGGTAACTGCTTGAAAACAAAGCCCCATCGCACCTCATGGCTACAGAGTCTTGTATGGGCCTGAATCTGGAAGGTGAGGCCACAGTTATTAGAGGTTGGTTGAATAAAAGCAATTCCTTCTTTATGTACCATTTGTGTATGGCTCCTTTGGTATTCCCAGAATGGCACTGCCTGATCCAGCCCCAGCTGCTGGAGTCCCTCAGCAACAGCCATTCCCAGCTGGGACAGCACATACTGGAAACAGGTGCTCCGGGAGAGGCACAGAGCTAGCCCAAACCTTGAATAACTGAAGGGCACTGGAGAAGGTTTTGTACTATAAGAAATTCCTCTACAGAGCTGTTTAACAGATGTCTAATAAATCTTTGGTGCCTGGGGACAGACAGCACGGAGAGAAGCAAATAGCCTGTCCTCAGCCTCGCCCTGCCACTGTCAGCATCCATCAAGCTAAGTGCTGCTTTCAGGCTGTTGTAAATGCGGACATCTCACACTGACAGAGCCACGTGTCTGTCAGCTGAGCTGGTGGAATCTGCTGGGCTGGCAAGCGGGTGCAGGGGAGGTGAGCTGTGGAGTGTCACCCTGGGCCAGAGACACGTGAGATGGTTGCCTGTATGTTGTGCTGGAGGCAGGCAGTAGGTGGGCTGTAAGGCCACAAAGGCAGTGCTCAGGGCAGCTGGTTTGGGGGTAGACAGCACAAGTGGTTTAATGTTTTTTATAAAGTCTCGTTAGGTTTATATTTTACTGTTTTTCCTGATCTGAATGTGTATGTTTGGTGGCCCTGCTAGGCAGGGGGGTTGGAACTACATGATCCTTGGGGTCCCTTCCAACCCGGGTGATTCTGTGATTCTGTGATTCTGTTTTTATTTTGCATTGATTTTTAAATGATGGTACTGGTTACTTTATAACCAAATTGCTCGGGATGCCCTTTTCTCCCACTGAGTGGCAGTAGGAGATGGGAGCTGAGGGTAACAGCAAGGCAGGCAGGGGCAGAGGCCTCCCTGATGAGGTGGCAGGAATGTGAGCCAACAAGGCGGGGTCAGATGTGAGCAGGAGACAACGCAGCCCACTGCAGCTCAGTGATGACTGGGCAGGTCAAGCCAAAAAGTCAAGACCAGGACAGGGTTTGGGTTGATGTGCTGCGTGGTCAGGCCTAGCCGTGGCAGTCACGTCACTGCTGGCTAGCTTAGGAGGGCACCAAAAGCAAGAACCTTGGTGTAACAAATGCAAGGGGTGGGAGCCCTCCTTAAATCTTCTTTCAGGTCTTTCTTTGTAAGAGCTCTTACCATCAAATAGGTCCCAAAGGCAGCCTGCTAGCACTGCAGGAAGACGAGGAAAATGTGCTGTAATATCTTCAGCTGCAGTGATGAAATCCTCTGGGGGATGTAGGCCCACATCTCCTCCTACTCCAACATGCAGCTGACTAGAGCTTTGTATTTTGCTGTGCAAAGTATAAAATCTGAAAGCTGTAATAAGGCTGGATACATCCTTAAAGTTCATTCACATCACCCAACAAATGAAATTGCAGTGGTTGGGGTTTAGTTTGCAGTTCTAGGGGTCAAATCCTGTTTTGTTTCTTGATTGCAGCTGTTACAACATTCCTCTTGTAATTAATCACTGATGTTGAGTTCCTTTCCATTCTTAAGGCAGCAGTAATGTGGGTGACACCCTTCCCACCGGACAGCTGTCCAACATTCCTTGGCGCAGAGCGGGCGTAAAATACACAAACAATGAAGCCTACTTTGATGTCATTGAAGAAATTGATGCGATTATAGACAAATCAGGTAAGATGCCTTGCAAACTCCTTCTTGGTTTTTGTTTGTTGAATGTGTCTACAGTTAGACACTGATGTTAGGGAGAATACAGTGCAGCTGGTTTTTTGCATCCATGTTTTTTATGCATGGATCTGTGTCTAAAGTAGAAGCATACAACCAAGTTCGAATAACATGCCCAGGTATATCCTTCAGTTTATGGCAATATGCTCTAAGATGCTTAAAGAGCACACCGTACGTCTACTATAAATATTCAATAATTAGATATTTTCTGGTTGCATGTTGATTCTTTTGAGATACAAATGAAAAAAAATTCTTAAAAGTTTTAAATGTGATGGCAAAATTATCTCACGTTGTGCTTACCCATAATCTATCCCATTGCTTATAAGCCCTCAAGTGAACAAAAGAAATCATCAGCTTTCCTCTGATAGCAAGTCAAAACTTGTTGCAGAATTCCTGCACAGAATTGCTTTCCTTGGAAAAACATAAGGAAGCATAATAATACTCCTGTGGAAAGTGTTTCCGTATGCCACTTTGACAAACACTCTGGCACCAGTTGTACTGGATAGTCATAAATACCTGTTGTGCAGCTCTTATTCCTGCTGTTCTGACACTAAAAGAGGGTGGCAGTCACACTCAGAACACCATAAGGGTTCTGTTGCTCTCCTGGCTCAGTGGGATTCCTAAGAGTGGTGCGAGGGCCTTTCCTGAGGAGTTATAATCAGGACTCTGTTTTTATTTCTGTATATATTCCAAGCCCAATCAGCATCCATGAGACTCTTTGAATTTCCTGCTGGGGCTGCACTGCTGTAGCCATAGCCACTTTTTTCTGCTGCGATCCCTGAGGGACTTGCCATGCAGAGTCTTTTTTCCTAACCTTCACTAAGGACTAAGAAGTAGGCAAGGTGGCTCCCCAAGAATAAGGACGTTATCCTGTTTGATAGTGGTTTGGTTAATTGTTTCATCGGAAACAGGATCCCTTCTTTTCAGTTATTAACCCCCAGGTTCTCCTCCCTCTTGACAAGATGAGCCATAATTTCTACTTACCTTCTAAAAGAACCTCTGCTACTCCAGAGCTCTGCTGATAACTTTTTGTCCTTCTAGAGCATTTAAGGATTTTTTTTTTCTGGGTAAGGTACTCAGTAGTTTCATTTTCATGTTTTCTTTTGGCTAAATATTTAATATATATAATATCTATTTAACTTCATGACAGATACGTACTGTCTTGTGTGAAGGAGGAAAGCCAAGGATGATGACATCCTGTGCTTTATTGTGCTTAGATATTTACTTTTTTCATGTGCATCAGCTTCCCTGCACCTCTACACGACTTGTCACTTTGCTGTAGACAGGGGTGGAAGAAAGGAAAATTTGGAGTTTGCATATTCTGAAAATCTTATTTGCACATTGCTCGCCACAGTGCAAGCACATGCAGTACGAGTTCTGCCTAACAGCTTGCACTGGTGCTCAGGCACACGCCGTTTGCCCTGGTTCATGCATTTTAGCAAGCTGCCCTGACCACAGGTAACTGGAATGACCTTCCCTGTCTGCGCCGGCATGGTCCTGAGTGTTGTGCAAATGCCACCTGTGCCCTCTAGCTGCACTTCACATTTGTCAGGCCCTTGATGGTGTGTTAAATGCAGTGTCTTTCTTTTTTTCTCCCACAGGTTCCACAGTCTTTGCAGAAATCCAAGGTGTTATTGATTCGTGTATTAAGCTCTCAGGAATGCCAGATCTTTCTCTTTCTTTCATGGTAAATTCACTACTGCATTTGGCAATTTTAATTGCTTGGGATATTTATTTTTCATGAACAGAGTTAGTGTAAGAGCATGACAACTACTGCACCTGTTTCACAGAAAAATTACATATCAAGTTTTGCGTTATAGCTTAAAAATTGCTGCATTGTTCAGTAGTTAGAATAGCCTTTGTGCACCAGAACACACTCAGGGCAACTGCTGCAGTAGCGGCTAGCAATGCCACTTCAAGTCCAGGGAACAGGAACTGTGTAGAGTTCAGGAGGTGCTTCAAACCCTGCTCTTCTATGACATTCTGCTCATCCCTCTGCCACTACTTACAGAACCCCAGGCTGCTGGATGACGTCAGCTTCCATCCATGTATTCGATTCAAACGCTGGGAGTCTGAAAGAGTGCTGTCGTTTATTCCTCCAGATGGGAATTTCAGACTGATCTCCTACCGTGTCAGCTCACAGAAGTACGTTTTGCTTTCAGTGTGCTCATTCTGTAGGTACACTGTCTACTGCTTTCCATCTGAGTAGCTGCAGATTTCTCCATGTTAAAAGAGGAATTTACACTGTTGCCAAAAAGCACGTTCCCAGGTTTTGGCTAATCTGGAGCCCTGTGCCCCCTGCAAGAAGAAAGCAGTGTTTCAGCTGAGCTCAGCAGTCACTTCAGTGGGATAAACCACATGCAGGACTAATTCAGGGCTAGTCTTGGTAATCAATGTTGCTGCTAGATGCTTGATGGATAAGATTCTTGATAGATAGAGGTCTCTGCTATTCATTAATATATTTTTTTTTAAATCAAAGAAGTGTAAATTGCAAGTACCTGCAACCTAAGTCTGGCACCTGTTGTGAGAATTGGCTTAGTGAGATTCCTTAAAAAATACTAATAACTAAAAAAAAAAAAAAAGGAAGGATAGAGATTAAGACAAGTAATTTAGAAGAAAATCATCTTTCCATTCTCCACTAATAAAAATGGCTTCAGCAATGATGCTGAAATGCTGGAAATCACTTCCCACTTTTGAAAGAAACTGGTTCTAAGTTAAATACCCAGCAGAAACATAGGAAGTATTTATGAGAAAGTTCTGTTTCCCCTGGCAGAGAAGCAAACATTCAACTGCTGTCTTCTCTTTTCAGCTTGGTGGCAATTCCTGTGTACGTGAAGCATTTGATCAGTTTTAAGGAGAACAGTTCTTCGGGAAGATTTGATGTTACCATTGGACCAAAACAGAATATGGGGAAAACAGTAGAAGGAGTTGTCATGACAGTTCACATGCCAAAAGCAGTACTTAATATGAACCTCACTGCTACACAAGGCAGCTATACATTTGATCCAGTTACTAAGGTAAGTCCTAAGGTTTTACGTATGTATTTATCTTAGAAGACATAAGAGCAAGTCCTACATAATGCATAGTGCTGGAAACAGTGCTGTTCCACACGTGGCAGAAAAAACTTTCCTTCCAATATATTTAATAATTCAGATCTTCTCTTTAAAATTCCCTTTTTCAGTCTTAGAGATGTACCAGTTATGATTTCTGGTTGTATTAGTCTCCTTTGCTTCCCTTTCAGTTTTCCTAGTCTTTTTCTTTATTACAACAATATATTGCTGGTGGTTTCAGATATGGTATATTCTCCAGTCTGTGCCCTTTAAAACATACTTAGAGAAGCTGGAGAAAATGCAGTAGACTTGAAAACAAGAGTCAGCAAAACAGGCGGCAAGAGATCAGAAAAGTCTTCCCAAAGATCTGCTTTTTTAAGACAACAGGGAGGAAAACAACGGATCTGAAACACCAGTTTGTTTGTCTTGCCTCTCAGCTGGGGTAAGACATCAATTTCCTTATGCTCCTGAGGCTTTTTAGTCCCTAGAAGCAGTTCTCCAGGCCTTCTGCCGGCTCCAGCAGCCTGCTCTGAGCTTTCTGCTGCCCTTGAAAAATCTCAATTGATGTTTGGTTTGAAGTGTAAGTGAAAGTTCTCAAAGAAACATTTTGCTTTATAAAGAACAGATCCTGATACTTTTAAAACAAAACCAGCAGTATGCCAGCTCCCAGCCGCTGGGGTAATTCTACCAGGCTACTTCAGTACCCAGCCTGCGAGCTAAAAGCTTCACCTGGGCTTCATAGGTGGTATCCACAAGGTCTGTTGCTACTGTTCTCTCTTACCTGACAGGTGTTAACATGGGATGTTGGCAAAATTACCCCTCAAAAGCTGCCAAATCTGAAGGGAATAGTGAACCTGCAGTCTGGAGCCCCTAAGCCTGAAGAGAATCCAAGTTTAAATATCCAGTTTAAGATACAACAGCTTGCAATTTCAGGTGAGTAGATGGGTGTTACAGGAAACTGATGGATAATTAGCAGCAGGATAAGGGGTAGGAAACTGAATTGTTTAGCTGGAGGTGATGATGAGCAAATAGTGATTTGTTGGCTTTGCTCAAGCAGGACTCAAATACACATAGGGATGTAGATTTTTCTTTGCTGACTTGTGTTAAAAGCAAATTTCTCCTTTTAGTGAAGGGACAATGACTGAGAATGCTGCTCTTGACTTGCACCACTAAAGCCTTCTTGTGGTCAAACAACTTTTATTGATTTCAAATAAATAACATCCTCCTTTTACCTTCCGGAGCTGGTTGGTTTTTTGTCTCCAAAACAATTTGTGACTAAAATCAAAACAAAATCTATATGGTAAAGGCTAAAGTACAGTTAAATCAACCACTGCCTCATTCTGCCAACGCTTAAATCAAGCAAGTTGCTCAGCTGTAGAATGCTGTGAGCAAGTGGTGCAGGATTAGGACCTCACAGAGCAGTTGGTTGGAAGGATGGCTGAAGCCAGCAGGTGAGAATTGGTACCAGTATCCAGGTGGGTTACCAGGATGCGTTTTTTTTTGCCTTCCAGACTCTTGGAGTTAATAAGAATTAGCCCTTGGGTGAGAAAAGTATCCTATGCTCTGCTCTTAAGTTCACCATCCACTAGCTTAAATGTAACAAAGCACGTGGCTGGATGCCAAAGGCAGGAGATGTGTGGGAAAGTAGGAGCCACGCTGAAACTGTTAGCTGTTAGGTAACAAATAGCTTCTGTTGTTCCTTAATTATCCTAAGAGAGTACTGAAGTTGTAATTAAGAGTGAAAACAATTCTACAATTTGTCCTTTGCTTCATTAACGTTATTAGGAACTAAAGTTCAGTGTGCACACGCATTGGAAGGTACACTTGTGTTCAGTAGCTTCTAAGGAGGTATTGGCTCACTGAGTCCAAAAGACAGTTGTTACCCTCTCAGGGGAGCCCTGCCTGGACAACGAGAGGGTTCCCAGCTGCTGTCTCAAACTGCATGAACTTGTGAAAGCGGTAGGAAGAGAACTCATCTGCTAATGGATCCTAACTTAAGGCAGAGAGAAAGGACTGCTTAACAGACCAGCAACATTTCTAGTATTTTGCTTTTAAACTTCATACTTTTTCATTTCTGTCTTTTACCAGGACTGAAAGTAAATCGCCTGGACATGTATGGAGAAAAATACAAGCCTTTTAAAGGTGTCAAATACATTACAAAAGCAGGAAAATTTCAAGTCAGGACATGAGAAGATGGTCAACTTCTAAGAGGAAATTCCCCTTAAACATTAAAAATGACTGCTTAGTGACTTATGTTGCTAGTAGGTGCCAATTAATTAATAGATACTGATTAGTTTGGGATCAAAGCAATTGTGCACTGCAGCTCTTAAAATGAAAGCGTAGCTTAGTTTCTCCTATTATGGCTTTAAAATGAGGTACCTTTTTTCTAATACACCTTCACTTTTTTTTAACTGACTTGTCGTGCTGGTGAATTGTTTGGTACAGGTGAGCCACAAAACGTCTCAAACACTACACTGCCAAATACCAAAGCCCAGAGGCCAAGCACATTAGGAAGGCCAGACAGGCCATTGGGGAAGTGGTGTGGTGGCACATTCTGCTGCTGTAGCTGCCTGCAGAGAAAGCTGGGCTTTTCTCACAGCCAGCTGCCAGTTGGCATTTCACGATGCATCATGCAGTCCCTTCAGAAACAGAGCAGAAACGCAAGGGGCAGGGGTCCCATAGGGACAGAGCAAATGTGACTCCTAAGAAAGAGCTTCTGATGAAGACACAATGTTTTCCTTGCTGTTTACAAGAAATCGCCTTTCTTAAGAAGCGTTTGCCTTAATCAGCTTTCATTTGTGCCATCTGCAGATGAGCTGGTAAAAATAACATTCTGCATTAAATTGGGGAGCTGTTGCTGCTTCAGTAATCCACTTTCTTTCCATTTTATCTCACAATCGTCATTTTTTTTAAGAATACAGTTGCAGAGAGTAAGATTTATTTTTTATGTGAGACCTTTGCTTTGGTTTTGATGTTCCACTTTGTTGTGAGTGGATGCCACCAGATTCGTGCCGTGTGTGTATTGGAGTGTAGCTTTTTAGATAGCACAATACAAGTGTCAAGTATTTAATGGTTGTGTGCTTTAATGTTATGAAATAAAGGGAACTCTGCTGCAAATACGTTTTCTCTTGTGAAGTGATCGCTACTGTAAGCTGCTCGTGATGCTTTCAGGTGCGACTCCTGATGTACAGTTCCACGGTAACCAACTGCCAGGCCTTCGCTGAATTTGATCAGGTGTTCAGAGTTCAGAGAGCATTCATGATCATGGCAGGTAAAAGAGGGGGTTTTTTGTTTAAGTGGAGAATCACAGAAACGCTGCAGTCCTGCTGCTGCAGTCAGAACAGAGATGATGCAAAACTGACATTCTGTGGCCCACAGTTCAAAGCATGCATTTGGTCAGTACATAATTCTGACACTTGACTGTGATACTGGAAAATCTGTTTCCTTTGCTTGTTTGGCTTACAGATTGATACGTATGTGCTAGTTTTGCTTCAGAATAATAGGAGCTATGGAAATGAATTCAGTGGATCAATTTCACATTTTTTTCCCCTTCGATAATTTATGTCTCAAAAAAGTGTGAAACCCATCTGGAGCATAGACAGTAAGCCAGTAACAAAAGCATCTTCTCTACTAGAAGCTTTGGCAATAACACTAGGAGATCACAAATGTATTTTGCACTTCTGAAAGTACGGTAGGTTACTACAGATACGCAGGGCTCAAACTACTAGGTCTGTAGAAAAGGGAGGAAGCCTTGTATTTGTATCGGCCTGGCACTTGGCCTTCTAATTTCACCTTTTGAATTGGTGGAACATCTGCCAGTTGGTTGGTTGGCCTACAGTTCTGCTCCATGTTACACTAACCAGTATCCTTAAATTAATGTTACTGAAAAGTCTTGTCTTCAGACCTGGTATGTCCCAGGGCCCAGTACTACAGCTGCTCTCTGTATTACCAGTGCAACAGTAGCAAGGTCTTTCCGAAGGACGCTGTTACTGACAGAGATACCAACACAACACAAATCAAAACCAGCTCCCTCTGTCCCCACCGCTTACCTTCCGCAAGGACACAGCACTCCTGTCTCTGAAAGCCCTTTCATCCACGCTTCACAGCGCAGCACCAGAAGTCTCTGTCAGCAGCAGCGCTGACATGGGAGGAGAAGGCCCTGAGCCCAAGATGGTGTTCCTCAGGAAAAGGTTTTTTTCTTGTGCTGACTCCACCCATTTCTCCAAACACAGGATTTTAAGTAGCAGGGACCGTGCTCTCCCTTCTAAAGTCATCTGCACCAGCACCTGTGGGACAGTGCAGCTTAAGAAACAGAAGGATGTCACTGAGGAGCATGTAGTGCCAGCTCTCGCGCTGCCCTTCTGCAGCTGTGCAGCTCTGGGAGTGCTGCCAAAGGTGAGCATCTCACAGGTTCTCGTTCTTTTTCAACCATGGATAGAGCTCCGTTAACAGAGTTCTTTAATCTATGGTCACTAAGTCGAAGCTGCCTTCTGGCACTGCTGGGCTCCGCTCAGTCTCTCACTGCCAAGAAATTTTGGTTCTGGAAAGTCATTATCTCTGTATGCTGGGAGAAATTTTGACACAGAAGCACAGAAGGTGGTAAGAAGATTTGTGCCAGAAACAGGACTATAATTCCACGCAATTGCCTTTGCACTCAAGTAATTTTTACTTTGCCATGTATAAATCAGATTGGATGAAGTGCTGGCCAGAGCCGCAGCTCTTCCTGTATTGACAGCATCAGGCAAATGCCACTTCCAATGCTGGGAGCCTCGGGGACGGCACTACTGGGAGTGGTGGCCTCCGATCAGGCTCCTGGAACAACCCCCACTTTCTCCCACTGGGCCACAGCACCTGCTAAGTGCTTTCAGCGGCAGTTTCACTGGCAATCAGGACCAAAAACAACTGGTTTTAATCAGAAACTGCACCTTTCTGCTCAGAAAAGCATTATTTTGCTATACTGTTTCTGCCGTTGTACCTGTTTGCTCCTTTTTGTTCCACTGCCATTAATACCCACAGGCTGATGTTTGTACAAATGCATTTTTATTGTTTTAACAGAACCAAAGAATAAGGTTGAAAACATTAGACTATACATAAATGCATTTTGGCTTATAAACAACATTTTATAGTGGTAAAACATTTGTAAGTGACATTCATGGTCTTTCTCCAATTTTTGCTGCATTTCAGGTCTGAAGACCGATAGTGTTCAAAAAAACCAACCCAGTAATTGCATAAGGTGAATGAGTATCTCAACTTCTACAAAACAATTTGAGAACCTACAGCAAACATTCTGGAAGAACGCCAAAGGCAACCATGATTTGTAACTCTCCCACAAACGTTACTCAATAAACAGAAAGTGATCTTTGGCATAAACAATTATGTATTAAAGGCATTAGTAATATTGCATTAATATCAGTCAAGCTACTAAACACTGATGCTAAAAAAAAAATCTGAGAGAAGCTTGAATGGGAGGAGAGGGGTGGGAGCGTGAGGAAACGCAGGAAGACTATTTAGAAAATCCCTTTAAAATTACCCTTAACTATTCAGTGTTATTTACTATTAAATAGAAATTACTACATTACAATTACATAAAAGATCTGGTATAAACCGACCAAATGCAAGACATTCAGGTTAAGGCTCTGGCACCTCTTCCTTCCTCTTCCTGTTCCAGGTAATCACCAGAAGAGAATACCAAGGAAAGACCCCAAGTACCACGTGTTTCATAATACTCAGACACCAGGAGCAAACTGAAGACCAACACATGTTTTCTCTTGCTAAGGTCAGGTTTGAGGCAGATGCATTAGAATCAGTTTAACTTCCCTTTTTAGATAACAGTGCAGTGGAGGGGTGGGAGAAGCAAGTCCAAATGTAGAGTGTTACAGGCCAGCAAAGAGCAGCTGACTATTTTCTCTCTCTCTCTTTAGGCTGTGAAACATCTGCTCAGTCTGACAAGGCCACTTCAATAATAGTTGTGCAACAATTACCAGCAAATAAAAATGAACAGTGTCTCAGGAGGTCCGTGCTGATTTGGGCAGAAGTTTGCAAGTGCTCATTGCAAAAGTACAGCAACCCATGATAAAACAGCAATTCCAAATGGCAAAAGAGACTATGGAGCAATAGACAAAAACTACATATAGGAAGGCATGTTAGATTATGTTAGAATAAAAATATTTGAAGCCTATTTTATCCAGAGCGCGTTTTGTCTACAGAAGACTAAATAGCACATGGTTCAATTTACTAAGACTCAAAAAAGTTTTCAAACTGCCTAACTCCAACTACGATAAAACCAGTACAAATACCTGGGGACACTGAGCATTAGGAACTGCTGCTCGCTGGCAGCCATCGGGCCACCTGACAAACTTCCCACCTCTGTAGTACGTGGGCTTCAGAAAGCTTAAGCAATGCTATTGCACTGTTGGAAGCAAGAGTAGTGAGTCAAAACATCTTCTGAGGGTACTATTCTTGATCTTTTGATTGCCATCTCGTGTGGCTAGAACAATGAGATGCAAAGAAGAGAAAACAATGACGACACATGCCTTGTGCTCACTTTGCTTTCCAAAAGGAAGGAGCGTTTCTGTGACGTTTTCTGGTTCTAGACACAGCTAGATTCAAAGAACCAGGATTTTTCAGTTCAGTATGTCACTAAATTGAGCAAGAAGGAGAGCTGCACAATTTAAGGCCTCCAGCTGACAACAGCGTGCCACTGACATTCACCAGAAGCATCTCGGTACAGCACAACAGTTCTGAAATGCTACCTATAGGGTGCCAGGAGGGTGACAGACAGCTCCAGTTTTTATTCAAGTACTTTTTTGCCAAGCAAAAGTCAACAAGAAAATTAAAAGATACATATCATTTCAGCAATGGGATTTTAATCTTCATTTTACAACTGCTTGCCCCCTCCCATCCCTTTTTTTCCTTTTTAAAAATCCAAACCACTTCTGAACCATTTGAAGAGCCAATTAAAAGCCTGCTGAAAAGTTGAGTGTTCATACACCAAAGATTGCCCTAAATCACTGCCAACTTACACTGTTAGTGTCCCAGCCTCTCAACACAAGCTTTAAGTGAGGTCTATGTATTGTAACATCATATGGAAACTACTGGAATATGCAGTGCATAAATGAAATGTGCTTCTGGGATTACAGACTTCAATATAATCTTCAAGAGATTAAAAAAAAAGAATAAGAACCGTATTATTGGAAAGAATTTTGAGGTGTTTGATATCAAACGAGCTCCAAAGATATTTTAAATGCATTCTCTTATAATTCATACCCTTAGAATGGGGCATTAGCATAAGCTAATTTTAAGCTTATGTATACAGCACCTTCTGCTGTTGATAAATCTCTTCCATTTCCAAAAAGAGGCATTTTATGTTACAGAAGACAATGCTTATTTGGTGTTTACTGATACCATGGGGTCTTTCTGACCCAGCGCAGAGTGAATCCAGCATCTGTTCTTATCTTAATGGATGCTGCTTCAGCTTCTCTCACAGTTTCCTTTACAGACTGCATGAGGTTCTGGGCATTATGAACCAACATCTCAGTTGCCTGGAAAACAAAACAAACATTATTAGGAAATAGCATGTTCATAACAGTGGAATGGAAACCCAATGTGCACAGTAATTCCCCCAGTACAGCATTTTTAAGGCAGTCTACTGCTGAAAAGTAAATTATACTGCTACTCGAGTGATAGTTGACTCTCAACAGTACTTTCCTGCTTGTCATTAGGCAATGAAAGTCTGAATAAAAGCACAATTTTTCAAAGCCGAATAATCTCTCAAGCCAGAAACTGCAGGACTCCAAGTGAAAAATATGCAATTGAAAGCCAACAGAACTGTGAAATAAATACTCGATGATGTCCGAAGCATTTTCACTACGAGCCGCTAGGGGGCGCTACCAGCCCACCTGCATTAACCCTGCTGTCGCTTCAGCTGAAAGTTCTTTTGCTAGCTCACTTCTGGGAGGAAAGGTGATTAACACACCGTTTGTACACAAATTTGAACCAGAACAATTGTTGTGCTCGGAGAGGACTGATGTTCCTTTATTCAAGTGTAGCTTTTGAAACAGCAAGCAATGCGTTAAGTTTTCCTTACTAAGCCCCTGAGGGAAACTACTTGAGTTCTC